GGTTTTGGAATGATGCCGTTGCTTCCAATCTAGTTTGTCGCAGTCTTCCGGGTGGGTTTTGGAATGATGCCGTTGCTTCCAATTTAATTTGTGGCGGTATTCCGGGTGGGTTTTGGAATGATGCCGTTGCTTCCAATCTAATTTGTGGCGGTATTCCGGGTGGGTTTTGGAATGATGCTGGTGTTTCCAATCTAATTTGTGGCGGTATTCCGGGTGGGTTTTGGAATGATGCCGTTGCTTCCAATTTAATTTGTGGCGGTATTCCGGGTGGGTTTTGGAATGATGCTGGTGTTTCCAATCTAATTTGTGGCGGTATTCCGGGTGGGTTTTGGAATGATGCCGTTGTTTTTACGCATTCTTAACCTTCAATGCTATATAATTCAGTTTTATAGTATTCATCGGGCTGTTCCCACTTCAACACTAGACACGTTTTTCGTAAACTAAAAATAGTTTCTTTATATTTATATAAATGGTATGTTCACTGGTGATTTGTTATATTGTAGGTTCCTTCCAGAGAACAAAAATAATCGTCACCCTTATACTTACTTACCATTTGGTGCTGGGCCTAGGAACTGCGTGGGAATGAGATTCGCTTTGTTAGAAGTTAAGCTTTGTCTCGCGTTTGTATTGAGAAACTTCCGTTTCCGCCCTTGCTCCGAAACCAAGGTAGGACACGTGTCTTTTTTTCTCTCGTCATACAGTGACTGTTATACTACAAAGTATTTCTGATAAGTCATTTGAAGAAATATCTAAACATTTAAATTACGAAACCCGTATAATGCGTATCTACTTGTACAACGTAGTTCGCAAACACTTTCCTTAACCACGTGATTGTGCAATTTGCGACAAGTGCGTGTGTCAGGGGATCAAGGCAAAAAACAAACAACTAAAACAACAATTATACTGCAGCTACTTGGTGGAAACCAGTTAATGTCAAGAGACCCGAGAACAGCGCTTCTGTATTGATTAGTAACCAATTAAAATGGTTACAAGGATCCAAATGCTCAAACTTTCACAGTTTAGTCCATTGTTTAATCTGGAATGAGTTGTTTTGTTTTTTGTGTATACAATGATCAGATTTCTATTCCAAAGTGCTTGAGCTTTTAGGTCTTTTACTTGTTTGCTGTAAAACACAAAGCTACACGATGGGCTATCTGTACTCTGCCCATTGCGTGTATTCAAACCAGATATTTAGCCTTATAAGCCTTCAGACTTACCACAGATCCACCTGGGAAAAGGGGGAGGGGGTTGTTTTTCTTTTATACTTTCATATAACCACTTTCCAATGACCCACAATAACTTCTTGTTTTAAAATGGCTGTTAAAATTTATTCATCATTTTGGCTGAACTTATTAAAATGATTTTTCGAATATATTGAAAAATTCAAGTCTATAAATTAATCGATCTTTAATCTCGTAAGTCTCAGAACGGTACAAATTGGATGGAATTATCTTGTGTATACATATCATACTCAGAACGGTACAAATTGGATGGAATTATCTGTGTATACATATCATACGCGCGGACACAAAATTGGATGGAATTACTTGTGTATAATATCATACGCAGAACACAAATTGGATGGAATTACCTGTGTATACATATCATACGCGCGGACACAAAATTGGATGGAATTACCTGTGTATACATATCATACGCGCGGACACAAAATTGGATGGAATTACCTGTGTCTACATATCATACGCGCGCACACAAAATTGCATCTTTCACTGCGAAAGAATTGTATTTAACCGTTCAGCAAATCCAGTTAGTTTTAGCTCTTAGGTTATTTTCTTTTACTTTTTAGTGGGGTAAGATGTAATTTTAAAACGAGATACCGTGTACACTTACATAACCTTCAAAACGAATTTATGTTTCCAACTTAATCGTGTCTCATCAGGCTGTAGGGGCCCGGCATGGCCAGGTGGTTAGGGAGCTCGACTCGCAATCTGCGGGTCGCGGGTTCGAATCCCCGTCCCACCAAACATGCTCGCCTTTTCAGCCGTAGGGGGTGTTATAATGTGACGGTCAATCCCACTATTCGTTGGTAACAGAGTAGCCCAAGAGTTGGCAATGGGTGGTGATGACTAGCTGCCTTCCCTCCAGTCTTACACTGCTAAATTAGGGACGGCTAGCACAGATAGCCCTCGTGTAGCTTTGCGCGAAGTTCAAAAACAAACAAACAATCAGGCTGTAGATATAAAGTACGTTCTGAATTGTTCTACTAATGAACTTGCTATTGTTATCTTCTCACCTTGTACTTGATGGTGAGTAGTCCTGTTCAAATATCTTTATCACAGTCACGTGAAGATTAGAATTTATCTTTTTAAAGTGTACTGTGACCACCCACCTGGCTTATTTATGTAACTGATAGTGTTAACTCTGATTTTCTATAAGTGAAATTCGTAATGTTAAAGATAACGTTAGGGTACCAAAATTGTCATAGAAATGAACAAACAGCCTAAAGAGGCTTAACATGCTACGTTGTCTTCGCTACAGTAAATATTTAGAACTTTTGTTGTTGAAAAAACTTTTTTTTTTTAAAATTATGATGCATAATTGACCTTTGGTGCAAGGTTATTAAGACTTGGAAGTAATATGAAGAGAAAAGTACATTTTTTGGCTAAAATGGACTGTTTTAACCCAGAAATAATGATCCCAGTTATGTGACCTGCATTGTAAATAAATGTCGGGAGACTGGAGTGTTTCTCTTGAGGGTCTAAACTGTCACAACTTTGAGCTTTGCTTCTCTTAACAATATATATTTTAAAGATGATACACTATCCTATTCAATTAGAATTTCCTGAAATGAATATTTCTACTATTTAAAAGTGATTTTGCAATTCTTCCCTTAACGACTAAACCTAAACACCCGAAATCTCTTCCTTAAGTGTCTCGTCGTAAAACTAGTAATTCCATTTTTCTCGTGTTACTAATCTCCGAACTAAGAGTGAAAGATACGTACGTTAGTTATCAGTGTAGAATAAGCTATAGTGAAAGATACGTTAGTTATCAGCGTAGAATAAGCTATAGTGAAAGATACGTTAGTTATCAGCGTAGAATAAGCTATAGTGAAAGATACGTTAGTTATCAGCGTAGAATAAGCTATAGCGAAAGATGAAGATATTGTAACAGAGCTAAGTAAGTTACATTTGAATTAGAATGCGAGATCATTCATTTTGGTATATAAAGTTTGTCTTTTTTTTTAATAGGTACCACTTGAATATTATAATGGTCAAGTACTAATTCAAGCCAAGGAGGTGTCGTTGGTCGTTGAAAAGCGTGAAGAGGTGTGGTCTTTGTAGTTCTTTTCCAACGTTTCTGTGTGTGTGTTGCCCTGTAACTCGAAGCATGTAAACGTTGTCACGCAAAAAGTGGCCCGTATCGTATTCCATTTTTGGAACATCTTAAAACTAAACTGAATGACGTATAACTGTTCACATAAAACACTTGAAATTAGAAATTCTGCTAAATTTTTCACTTATTTGTATATTATGATTATAATAAATATGTTAATCTCAAAATTCTTTATACCCAATTCTTATAAAGTGTTCGAAGAGTAGAGGCTGTAAGTGTATAGTGTTCCCTTCAAAGTTTAAAATAAATGTCAAAGATAAAGCATAATTTCAGAATGTAAGATACCAAACAAAATGTTCTAAATAAAAATAAGTTATTTAGATTTTTGAGTAACAGGGACAGCGCGACTTTTCATTAGGCTTATATAACGGTTAACAAACTAAAACTGACCTTTTGACAATAGGAGATGTCGACATTTTACATTGCCCAAAAACACCAGTCTTGGGCAAGGTAAAGCTCATCAATCCACCTAGTGGAAGATTGACGCTTCAGAAAATATTGTTTCTCAACGTAGTGGATTGCTAATATTTTCGTCAGCGTAAAATCTAATTATTGATTTTTTCCAACTCCCCTAAACACAAGACTAGCTGTTGGTGTAATATACAGTCTCGTCAGTGTATTGTTTCTCAACGTAGTGGATTGCTAATATTTTCGTCAGCGTAAAATCTAATTATTGATTTTTTCCAACTCCCCTAAACACAAGACTAG